GTTCGGCAGTAATAGTATTTCCATTCTTCCTGTTATTGTCCGCAAAGGGGGTTGGAGTGGTGAGGAAGAGGGAGACGACGAATGCGAGCCCGAAGCTTTGCCGAGTTTTGCCGAAGCACACGCTGCATTGGCGAAAGTGAAGTTGTTCTTTTATGCGCTTAATATTAGTGAACGTGACGAGGAAAACATTTTGAACGTGGAAAGTGCTCTGTTTGGTCTAAAACGTAAAGTTTCGACAAACCAGTTGTCCATTAAAGACTTTTTTGGTAAAAAGAAGTAACTTTGAAAGAGAAACATTGTTTTTTTTTAAATTTTTAATGCTTTCCCGCATCTATCGTTTTCCCGCATTCATCGTTTTTATTTCCCACCCCCGCCGAAAACGATGCATCGAGGTTTCACTGTATTGTATAAGGCATAACATGTATTTTATGAATGTAGGGTAATACTTTTATATCAAGTTTAATCAAAATCTGTCAGAGGGCTCAAAATACATACTTTAAAGTTTAATTAATGTTACTTATAATAATATTCATTCAACGGAAGTGCCATATGTAAATTTTATCAAAATCCATCAAAGTACTTAAAATGTGTATCTAAAGTTTATTTAGCCCTTTCCCTAAAAATTAGCTAGACTAAATAAAAATAAAAATGAATAGACAAAATTAAAACTTTACACAGTCATTGAAGCATGTTATATTTACAAATGTATGGTATCCTAATATTTCTTTACCAGTTACAAATTAAGAGTTTTATTTGTCACCTTATTCCTTTTTAATGTTCATGTTTCATCCTCTGGTGGTTTACTACTTTCCTTGGGTTGTTTTTGTTCATTTTTGTTTCTTCAGCCTGTTGTGTTGTCATATATTCATGTTGCCTTTTTACATACATTAATACTTGTTAACATCATATATACTATTGTTTAAGGTTAACAAATTTAACACACTTAAAACGGTTTTTAGTCTGCACTATTTTTTCAGGAATGTAATGAGTTAAATGGTATGATGGCCCATTCTTCTTTGCCCTTTTTACACTGTGTGATGTCATGTATTTAAAAAGGCGAACTCTGAAATTATAATTGGCAAAGAAATAATGTGACATTCTTGATATGACATATATATGTTAAAACTCTTATATTTATAAATTGACTCTTTTGATTTAATTGACATAACAGTTCTACTGTGTAGTATAACACACTGTACATTTTGGTTGGATGAATTTTAACATGTTAATTTGTAATATAAGACTGTGTTAAATTGTGTGAGGATGAAATACTGTATTGGTGTATAAGTGCTCGCAACAGGGTGTTATGGGCTGTGGTCTTTCCCCGTACTGACCCTGGTGATGGAGTCAGTAGCAGGTCTCCAAAAGTTGGTTCTGAACTAAACTTTGATGTGGCTGATCATCCAAGAAGAGTTTGCTTAACTTGTAATATTTGGAAAACAATCCCATTGTTTTCAGTTATTTTCTAAACATTGTACATAACTAGACTTTTTTTTTATTCTTGTGATTTCAGTGTGAAGGCATCTTTGTAAGTTCCTCTTTGCTTTTATGCCATAACACAAAATTTGTTTTTTTAGGAGGTTCCTGTGTATCCAGACCTCCCATGTGAAGTGAAGATGGAGGGTGGAGATGACAGAAGAACTGAAGTACATGATGAAAGTGAAGTTGAAAGGAACTCAGGGATCCTTCCTCCTCTTCCAGTTAATAAGGGTTTCCCATGCCAAGTTTGCCACAGATCATTTTCAAGCAAATCCTACTTACGAGACCACCAAGCTGTACATACAGGAGAACGAAGTTTTTCATGCTCAGTAAGTTTAACTGACAAAGCATTAGGTATAAAATACACAATGTAGAGATATGGGATATATTTTAATAGTATTTTCTGTATTGCCACTTTCTGCATTTATAATCTGCTTGCATTCTTCTTCTTTCACTTCTGGTCACAAAGTTATGTCAATAAATGATGTGTTTTGATTTCATACTTAATTTATTACAGTTGCTGGAAGGCTATAGGAAATTTTAGGATGATATTTGTTGTCCAGAATTATTTAAGGCACTAATTAACATATAAAGATTATGAACTTTGTACTGTGAGAGGTATATGGAAAGCAGAGTGAAAATCAAGCGAATTTTCATACATACGTTCTTCATTTATAAATGTTTATACTCCAGAATATGGTATTTATAGCCAGTATTCTTTCAAAACAATTATTAAAACTGAAATCCCTGTGCTGTAATTATTATTATTTTTCTTTTTTAGTTTATTAAAATATTGTACAATTTAACAAATTCAAGCTCAGACTGCTTGTTACCATGGCAACCCTGGCCTCCATTATGTTACTGCTATTTAGAATGCTAAAATTCATGGTATATATTTGTTCTGTTATTTGGTTATAAAGATTTCTATGTGTATAACTTTTGACACCTATTGCTTTCCTCATGACTACTTATAAAACTGTAGGCAATACTTGACATCTTTATTTATATGGTATAATTGATATTATATTAAAGCTTTTGGAACTTTCCTCCATGGCACCAGGAATGTGGGAAAGCATTCTATAGTGACCGCAAGTTGGCATTGCACATTAAAACACATTCTGCAGAGCGACCGTGTCTGTGTTCTGTGTGTGGAAAGGCATTCCGTGAGAAGAGTGATCTCAAAAAACATTTCAGGCTGCACTCTGATGAATCACCATTCCTCTGCAATGTTTGTGGTAGGTAGCATTAGTTAGCATTATTCAGGAAGAAAATAACAGATGAATGTGTTACAGATTAATACTGGATATGTGGGTGGGTGACTGCTTTATATGAAATTGTAATTCTTGTCTATGAGTCTGTGAAGATTTTATTTGAAATTAGAATCATGTTTCAAATATATATCATTGTTCTTTGGATAAGCTCTAAGAACTCTGTGAATATTGTTAACAGAAGCTGAACATAGAAGTCATTCTTTTGCCAAGAGATTGCTATCATATTTAAAGAATAACACACAGAAAACAGAGTTTATGAGATTGTATTCTGCAGGACATCAAAGTCGAGATTTTTTTTTTTCAATTTGATAATCTCAAAGTGACCTCTAATTGTTTCCATCTAGTTTTATTCATTGATGTACATTTACGTGACAAACAATACAGTATAGCCTCCCAACAAAAAGTAATGACTGTACAGCATCCATTGTGTTTAACTTTATTGTTAGGAACTGAATAGCTTTCATTTTTAATTTTCAAGGGCTCTGTATGTGTGCGTGCGTGCATGTTGTGGACTGTAGTCTTGTATTGGCAGTATGGTTTAAATCTTCAGTAAAGTGTTAATGCCATTGTTGCCCCATTAGGGTACTGTAATTGCTTTTTACCAAGGGGTAAAGTAGCCACAGCACAAACTAACCATTAACCTCTGTCAAGAGGCAATGTCTAGAGTGCATAGAATGTTACTTCCATGCCCCTATACATCTTCATGGAATAGTGCTTGGGAATAGTTGATAGATTTGTACTTTTTATAGTAAGTACTAGTGTACACTGGATGTAGAAATACAGTGAAATCCATATGTAATTAATCTCTGAGCAAATAGCTTTTATTGTGCTAAATCAAGGTTCTTTTTACTATGTGGGGTTATGTAAAATTATGTCAAGAAACACTTCTTATGCAACTTTCTATATGTAATTTTGATAAAGTTATTTATTTTCATAAGTAGTTAAAGAAGCTGCTTGTACACAAATAAAAATGAAATTATATAATCAGTAGTATAAAATTAATTCCATGCACTAAAATCAAGAGGCTGAAAATGACTTTGGCATTCACAAGCTAAAACTGACTAGCTGTCAGCTTCTTAAGATGACCTGTGTTCAGTGGAGTTGGTAAATTGTAGTGGTGTGCGTTGAACTGGTTCAGAATATGATCTGGTGTTAGAATTTTATGCTAGCATTACTGGACCTTGTGTTATTGTGATATTTAATTAGTTAAGCACAAAGTTACATTTTATTTTCAACACCAACCTACATTTTTGTCATGCAGTTAGAGAAGTGCTAACCCAGGCAGTATGTTTGAGTTTTCCATTGGTGCATGAATCCTACTTAAAATGAAATATAGTAATTTCTAATGTTGGCATAATGGTCTACATCAGTATCTGAAAATAACTTATCTTTCAGCTTTGTTTTAGATTGTTATATGAATAGAACTAGACTCCAAAGAAACTTGGATGCTTGGTGTCTGGATGATAATGTGATGGTGAGCCAGACAGTTATAACAATAGCAGTCTTGTTGAATATTATCCATTGCCCTAATTTTAATTAAAACATTGTTTTGGGGACTGGACAATTATACATTTTTCTAAGCCCATACTTAATTTACCATTTGCCATGATTGTTGTATGTGCTGTATTGATGTCAAACAACAGTGATGTAATTTTAATCTGGAAACAAAACTATTTGATGACAGTGTCCATGTGAAATTTGTCATGATTGTCCACAACCTTACTTCTGACATTCTCTTGCCAAAACAATAAAAGAAATCTGTACACACACATATATTTATGACATGTTTTAAATTTCCGTAATGAATATTTTTAACTGCAGGTAAGACATTCAAGACCAAGTTTTACTTAACACGTCACTTAATGATTCACTCGGGGGAGAAGAGACACACTTGTGCTGAATGTGGCAAGTCTTTTACATGGCGAGACACACTTATGGCACATGCCAAAGTCCATGCACGGGAACGTCCACTGGCCTGTAGTATGTGCAGCAAAGGTTTCAAGAGGAAGGAGGATCTGGTGCGTCACATGCGAATACACACAGGGGAGAGGCCTTTTGTGTGCCCTTATTGTGAACGTCGTTTCTCAGACAAATGGAATTTAACTCAGCATGTACGTTTGCATACTGGTCAGAAACCTTATGTGTGTTCTGTCTGTAATCAGGCTTTTACACACAATGTAACTCTGAGAAACCATGTAAAACAGCACCATTCTTTAGTTTAAAGTTTTGTGTTGTAAAAGTGTGACAGAAACATTCTGTTGTAACTTGTGCAAAATCTGCTGCAGTGCAGAATTTGGAAATTGAACAGTCGGCACTATACCACCTCTCCAACTGAACCATCATCATAGTTGCTACATTGCCATGGCGATATAAATATTTCCTAGCAGTCCAGGTGCCTGGAAAATCCTTCTATTTATACCATGCTGATGTGGCAGCACTACTCTGCAGGAGAGCATCATGATATTCTTTGCTCACAGAGCTCCATTACCAACTCTAGAGAGACCTACAGGAAGTTGGATTGCATTTGTAATATGTGTAAATGATGTTACCAGATGTGGTTGCTTTGTCCCTCCCCTATTTGTAAACAACAAAGCACCCCCTCAGAATACAGGTTCAGTTTCCTGTTACATGGCTATGTCCAACTTTCTTTCATGTGTAACATGCCAGATTTATGAGAGTGATCGATGCTTGGGAGGTAAGCAGCTCTTGAAATAAAGATATTCTACTTAAATGGCCATTTGGTCTTCTGTTGTTTATGTTGGTTGGTATACTGTATTTCATAATAGATAGAAGCATAAAATGACAGCTGTTTTCTACAAAATTTATCTGTTGCATTTTGGGCCCCAGCCATTTTATACAAAAAACATGAATGTACCTGACTTTTTTCTTGTGTAGTAAAAGTGCCACTGCAGTTAATATATTTATTTGTATGTGAAATTTTGGGCACTTTTAGGTTATTGACTGAAAGTTTCATACTTGTATGCTTCATAGTTATTGAATAAAAATTCTGAAAAACAAGTAAATAAACATGTTTCACTGTTTTGTATGTTCCATAACCATTGTATTATTTGCAATCAATGTCATTTATATAAAAACCATCAAACACAACTTTGTTATCATTTTTATTAACTCCGCTTGTTGCCTGTACCTTAGACATCTTTAGGAATTTCTAAGTCTTATGATTGATTGGAATTTGAATTTTACTTATAAGCTAGCAGTACACACAGGTAGGACTGTATTTTTGTGTTGGTGGTAGCACGGTTTAAATTGTCCTGAAACGCCCTTGGGCCAATATGACCATATCATGGGGTTGCAGGAGGTTTAGAGTGCATGTCTATTCATTTAATCTTGTTGAAGGTATTTTCATTGGTTAGTGAATTATGTTAAAATTATTAATTACATAAATTAATTCATTGTTAAAATGACAATCTGAAAATGACAAGGCATATGCAGTGAAGACAAGAACAGTGGACATTTCATATTTTTGCTCTGCTCCATGGAGTAAATAAGTAAGTAGCACATGTGCCCAATAATACATAAAGAAGTCATGGAAAGTGAGGGTGACAGCTTTCTGGGATACTGGGCCAAAATTTGGTCAACTTCTATGAGACTACACAATGCAACATTCCAGAAGGCTGCCATTTTCATACTTGCCGCTGTGAGAGCGTAAAATTATAAAGCCATGGAGAAATTTCTTAGAAAACAATCGCTGAAGTTGGCGAGAAATTACTGCCTTGCATGGAACCCTAAGGTTCATTATTATGTTTACAAGCCGCCATTGGTTCCTATACTGAGCCCAATAATAGAAAATGTCATACAATTTTTCGTCCGAAAAGGACATTTGTTACGGATGAACCACTGGCGAGAGAGGCAAAAATGCAGTTCATGGACTGAATTAGGGAGTTCTGTTCAATGATATTGGCGACTATGAATCGACGAACATGGCGGCTACGATCGAACGAAACACTATGTACATACATACATGATGTGTGATATTGTAGTCGAAAGGTAACTGTTGGTGTTATCTGTGGCTGATATAATTCATATATATTAAAGTGTGCTTTGCTATGTGGCGGAACCGTGGAGAGTATGTTATTCCTTGTCACGAGTTGTATTAAAGCCATGACTCAATATTCTGAAGCGTATTGAGAGGAGTTCTACACTGCTGTTATAATTAAATGGTAACGTTTTATGAAAGGAATTGCAAATACATTTTGTGACACCTTGCTTTCACTGTCATACAGTTTGCAGATACTACTTATATTTAGTATGGTGTTAGATAAAATACAGGAACCAGCTTACGTTTAGTAAAGATTTTGAGGTAAGATTCTTAACACTTAAAACTGCCACACTGTGCCTTTGGTGCAGACACCACTTCTGGCTACAACATGGTGGTATGTGTAGTGACAATGCAATGCTTTGTTGTTTCACAAACCTCCTCCCCCTAATTTTATAAGATTTAGGTAGTGTAGCTAGAGAAATTAGAAATGATTTCCACTTTGAAGGTCTCATCAAATAAAAAAAATGGCATCCTGACATGATAACCCTGCATCTGGGACTTGTAATTTGACATACCAAGGGTGTGGTATACTTGATATAGCAGTGTGAAGGGAAATTTTCAATAACTCTTTC